TGGCTGCGAATTTGCTCCGACTTCGGACCCGGTTTCGTACTCGATGCGGGCCGAATCAGTCAAAACCCAAAACAGTAAAGTTGTGGGCCTTTCTTTCTTCTTTCTAATGCTTCTTGAATTGCCCAATTCGGAGTCTAGAACTGTGAGTTAGGCCCAGATCACTGACTGTTGCCRAAACTGTGCAAAATCACCCGAATTGACCTGTTTCCTTCCAATTGCCTTCTTTATTGCTCTGAATCGAAATTCAAGAGTAATGAGTGCATTTAAGTGCTAAAGTAGTGTAAAAAGGATGAAATTAAATTTAAGTCTCATCACAAGGAAAAGTCAATACAAGGTGGGATATATGGTTGGCATGGACTGGGGTATTCAACATGTGGCAATCCAAAGAGTCCTCAATCCAGTGGATGATTGAGACCAGCCAAATTATCCATCAAAGTGGCAAAAATGAAGAAGGTTATCTAGGGAAGTTATCCACTTAATTGGAAACCTTATCGTTATATACGCATACATACATATAATACCATGATGTTGGGACTCTGAAGTTGGTCTCAAATGGGCAAAACCAAATCTGGAACTTAAGTACAATTTTCTCTCTATATATTCTTCCTCTTCTTTTCAAAGTTTCCTCCCTTCATTAGTATATTATCCATTTATAATCCTCTATTTCCTCTATTTATTTATGTCATTTTTTCATTATTTCTATCTATAGCTTATAAACCAAAACTGTAGGGATATGATATTCAACATATTGTTTCCAGTTGATCCTTCATGCTAAAAATGCCAGATAGTAGGTCCATATCAAGTTCACCTCTTCCATGATCCCAGATTGCTAGGACCACATTGTCCCTAGTTGCTCCTGGAATTCCAAATCCTTTTGAGTATGTGTGCATGTATGCATGTATGTATATAATTGAAAAAAGATAAAGAGGAAGTAAAATAAGTATGGTTCAACACAATACTTCTAAAAAGCCAAGGTATGGTGCAAGGCTTTTAGACATACAGTGTCCAACTTAGCTAAAAAAAGAAATCTTTTCAGGAAAGCAGTAGTAGCAGAACTTTTTGCATTTCAGTCAGCTCTGGTTTTGGCTAAGGAAAAGAATTGGGAACTGGTTCTCCTTCCCTTTCTTGGGATGTTTGTAATTTGACTTTTATTGACTGTATTTGCCTGGGTCTTCTAACAGGGCTGCATGAATTAGCTCAATTGGCAAAAAGTTTAGAGTTAGACTCTGTTTGTTGGAGCAGCCCTCCTGCTTGTATTGAACCTTTTATTTCCTTTTGTTAGTTAGTGGTTAGTTTACTTATAAAAAATAGTGTTAGGCATACAATGGTGGCAAAGAAAAAAACAGAGGTGTCAGGCATACACAAAAAATATGCATTGAGGCATTAGCCTCAAATGCTTGACTTCAAAGCCTTCTTCTGTGAGATGTCAAGGCAAACCTCAAGGCATAAGCCACAAATACATTTGAATATACTGACCAGTTAAAACATCTATGCAATTCAATTCCATAGCTCCCTGCTCAGTTTGGGACAACAAGCAACGAAATCAAACCAGGAACAATTGCAGCCTTGGCCAAATCAGTCCACCCAATGCTCTGCTTTATCGTATTATAGGTGAGATTTGCACTCAATGGATTTGCTGCCATAGCGGTCAGGAACATTGAAGATGAGACTACGGAAGTCTGAAAGCAAGTGAGCATCAACCAAGCTCCCAATCGGTTTTCAGTCCCATCGCCGGCATTACTGCCACAGGCAACACAAAGGGACTTAACCAATGGGAGGAAAATTCCGCCTGCTCTGGCGGAGACGGAGGGAATGGCAGGTGCAAGGAGCGCCTCGCTGAACACCAAGCTGTAACCTAAGCCTAAAGACGAGCTACCGAACAGAGACACAAATTGGTAAGCAATACGGTTACCAAGTCCAGTCTTTATAAAACCCCCGAGCGAAGAAGAAAGCGAGAGCAATAAGCCATGGGATAGGATCGCCAAAGGCGGAGAATGCAGCGGCGAAAGTTAGGGTTTTTGTGAGCACGGAGGCTCCCAATCCCATCAAAGCAACAGCCCCGAGAGGCAGAGGTTGCGTGATGATCCCGACTATAGTGGCAAGGAAGATAGCAAGCAATTGACAAGCGTTCTTCGCCACACCGTTCGGTACCGGGACAAACCAGTGAATGATTCCTGTTGCAATCGAAGCCATTAATGGCTTCAATGCTGCTCCATGCCATGGCTCAGAAGCAGGTGCTACTGGAGCAGCAGAAGCAGCTGAAGCTCGAACAGTGAATTTCCGATTCGAGAGCGACAGAGAACAATTCTGAAGTTTCAGAAAGATGTTCGAAGGCAAAGCTCCTAATAATTGCTTACTTAACGGATTCGGACATGAGGAGATTCGATTTTGATGAGAGTGAAACTGGGATTTGAGATTTAAAGGTGGAGACTTTGCAGAGCGAGATCTGCATAGTGGAATAGAGCGAAACCCTAAGTTGCACGAAGATGTAAGTGCGAGGGACACCATTTATGGCACAACTCAGAGCTTCACGGGTCACAGAAACATCAAGCAGAGAGAGAGAGGGGAGACGGAGATTCGAATAGTAGTTATATAGGAAGATTGAAATATAACTTTTGTTGATTGTCAGGTCCTGATCGTGCGGCCATGCTGTATTAAGAATATTCTGATTTTATAAATTTTATTTCTCGTAAAATCCGTCGGGTCAGGGCCACCAACCACCATGTCTCATGCCTGTTTTTTGGATTTATATTACAGTAAATCTCTTAAACTATCCTCAAATTTCATCCTCTTCTTATCTTTCTCCTTCTTCCTCTGCTCATCCTTCATCCATCTTTATTTTTGTTCATTGTCTTCTCGATGGTGAACAGAGAATTACCATCAGCGTTGGCTGCTGGTCTGCAAATACCAGGAAGGAAGAGACACTCGCATCCTCCACCATCGAGAAGGCAAAGGGATGAATCCTATTTCAATGATGATAACGTTTCGAAGGATGATGACGATTCAAACAACGATGATCCGTGCTACTCAGGTAGAAAACCCTCCCTCTGGATTTCAAGTTCCTCTCAACGAGTTGCAACTAGAGTTCATCCTCTCAGAACCAGTTCTAAGGCCTTCATTGAATCAGTTCTCCTGAAACATCACAGTCTTTGGGCAAGAATCTTCTTACTGTACCTCTGTCAATTCCACAAATGGATATTCTCCTCCCAAATCCAAGCTGATCTCCGCTGGAATGACGCTATCCGCCAATGCGGTGCTAGCCCACAGCTGGTAGAGATATTTCCGTCATTGCTAAATCTGCCTGTGAAGAGATCGTTGCGCCTCCAGCCTCTGCCGTCTGCAATAATCTGCCTATAAAGGAATCAACAAATGTGGTGTTGAGATGCTTGAGAAGAAAATGGAGCAAGGTCTTGACGAAAATTGGGACTCTTCTTCCTCTTCAATGGTGCAAAATATCAAGGAATGGCAGCGAATGGGAAGCCAATTCTTCCCCAGAGGCTTGCACCGGTGATGCCTTCTTTCCCGGAGGCTACCAGTTTCACCGACAGGGGAGGCAATCGAAGGCTAGCAAGGCCAGCAGGTCTGTTTCACTTCCACCGAGACCGGTGCTGGTACCGGCAGTGGCAGCGGCAACGGCAACGGTGGCTGTGGTGACATCTCTGAGATGCAATATCGTATTCATGCACAGACATGAGAGAAGAACAACGGCATAGACTATAAATGACGAATGCATCACAAAAACGGGGAGGAGTTGTGCCACCACCTATATACCTTCCCCTGTTTCAATCGTCGTCACTTGCAGTGGCAAATCTAAACACAACGGCGGAGCTCCACCTAGACTGGACTGGAAAGGGCGATCGTAGCTTGTTCTCTACCATTATTCTATCCTGTCCCACCACTGCCAAAGATGAGGAAGAAGCTCTTAGAGGTGAGATCGATGGGGTGAAGACGAAGAAGAAGATTTGTTCTTGGGTTGGCTTTTGATAGGGACGATGTTTAGCAACGTCGTAATTCTTGGCATGATGGTGTTCTGGGAACAAATTGTCCTATCCCTATGGATTAAAACTGGATTTACCAGTTTCACGTCAAGGATTAGATTGGGAGTTTTTTCTACTTCCCTTCGTTCAATTTCCAGAGAGCCGTCGGTGGTTATGGAGGCTTTATTATAAACGGTAAGTGTTATAATTCTGATCTTTCCATCGTGATTTTTCGATGCCTTTTGGGACCACAGGGAGAGGGATGGTCTTTAAGAAGGGAGAGGGAATAAGGGTAAAATTGGATTTTGAAAAAATTTATGAATCACCTGTGTATGAATTTGAAAGAAGCATAGATATGAACGACCGTAGGGTAGAACTAATCAATTGTCAAAAATTTTAAAGTACGGCAAGACAATAGCTAAGGATACTAGAGTAAGGATAGTTTAAGAGATTTATTCCTTATATTATATAGAACCATCCACTAACATGCGCATTAACTATCAAAATCTCAACCAAAAATTTGGTAAGGCGCTCATGGCTCACGTTAGCTTTTGCTGATAACAGGAATGCCTTCAATGTCTGAAAAACGAAGCTTTTTTCATCCCAAAGACAGCATAAGGACGAGGAGACTCCAGCAATGAAGATTTGAGACTATGGCAAGAGTAAGCCATGCTCTCCTTAGCTTCTTTCAGGTGGCAAGAGTAGGCCATTCGTTTGGTTTGTTTTACATTTGTTAATTGTTATTAACTAGCAAGTAAACCGATGCATGGAGTTAAAAAGAAGGATAAATTATAAGGACCCCCTGTACTATTAGGTCAGTGGCAATTACTTCCCTGGATTTTCATTTGCAGTAATGAACATAAGCTTTTACTTTGCTATAAAAAAGATTTTAATTCAAATGTTTACATTTTTTTAAATCCCCAAACTATTATTTTCTCATTTATTTGAACAATTTTATGATTCATTTAGTTTTCTAAATATAATATGGAAGTCTCTTGGTTGCTCCAATAGATCTTTGTAAAATTTTGCCTGGATTCAGTGTTTAGATGAAATGATAAAGGTTTCTTTCTATAAATATAAATTGAATGTTCCATTTGGTTTTTCTTGATTTATTGGAGAAAGGAGTGGAGAAATTGTATATTTTAAAATGAAGAAAGATATTCATGTTAGTGGAATACAACAAGAATTTAAAGAAACTTGTTTTTCTATGCCAATAAAATGGCTCTTGTTGTTTTAGTTGGTTTCTTTTGAAGGAAAAGGGTTATTTTTGGGTTAATTGGGGTTTAATAGAAAAAGGCAAGGAACTTAATAAGAAAAGTTCATGTGGATATTTTGGTAATTTAAYACATTTATCATCTAACATAACAATTAGCTGGTATTTGTTGCAAAGTAAAAGTTTAGGAGGTAATTGTCACCAACCCCATAGTAGTACAAATATAGATGTATACAATGCAAATACAAGGTTTAGAAATATTGTATACAAGGTTTTAYATTGTACACATTTTTATATGTACTCTTTTCAAATTGAGCCTTAAGTTTTGGCACTAAGAATAGCCACGATCCAAAAGAATACTAAGGAATAGGCACTCATTGATCACAGTATTCAGTTTCCATGGCTGATCCACCTACTTCCTTAAACGGTCAATGACTAACTTTGAATATMCCTTGATGAAGATTGGTTGATTCCTAGAAGTTGAGTGCAATATTATGGGCTTCCCATGCAACCCACACTTTAGCAAGATTGATTSTAGTACTCTCTAAAGCACATACTTTCAAGTCAAGGAGCTAACCATGATGATTTATAGCAATACAAGCAATGGTGCAAAATTCATTAGAATCACAAGAAGATTTGTCCCTTAACCTGACCCAAATACATTAAATTTATACTCCAWCTTTATTATAGAGAACCAAAATGGATTAAGAGACATTTAAGAGGAAAGAGAGAGATATTTATAATTATTAGAAATAATTAAGATATAAAAGGTTGTTATTAGAGTAGTAATGGATTTGATTATTAGACAATGTATGCACTTAGCTCCAATCAGAAAGATGTAGATAAACATTTATTTGTAAATGGATAAAGTACATTGTTGTTACGTGTTGATATTGGTATGTTTTTGTGTATTACCCCTTAAACTGGACATTTAAGAGACTCATGTTAGTTTAGAATATTCTCATCCATTGGATAGACTTAAGGAGTTTATTTTAACAAGGTTGACACTAGTGTGTTGCCAAGGAATTAGAGTAGCTTGTCTCAGTTGTTAAGGTTAGATCCCAAGCACAACTATTGAGTATTTATCAAAAGCATTGAACCCGGACCAATTTTTCAGTTATACCCTAAACCTTGGAGATAGATGGGCAAAACTGGAAAGCTATATATAACCCCAGGCTTGATTATGGTACTACAATAGGTGTTGGAGTGAGCTATTTTTGATAATGCCAAACAGTTAGATCCATTAAGGGTCAAATACTTGGGTATGTTGGGACAACCTAAGAATCACTCTCTCTGATGGAAACCTAAACTGCCGACAGTGGATTTCACTTATGTTTGAAATCTGGTTTTGCAAAATGAGTGCGGTTATGTGTGTATGGTATATACTACTATTTTATGAAAAATGTTTGCAAAAGTTTTAATTCTAGGATTCATCTAAGTAGAGAGTGTGGCACTGCACCTTGCAACCAGGGGAGAGGTCCTTCCCTATCGGGTAGTGTTTTAATCATTATAGGTCAAGAACTTAAGTGTAAGAAACCATTACAGGATTAATTACTTGATGTGATTTGTCTTATATGAGTCCATTATCCTTGGGTCTTCATAGGATGGTTGAATTCAATGATCATTTAGGTGTAAATGTTGGGCACAAAGTGGACCATTGTTGACTGGGTTAAGGGTTCATTGCCTTGAGTAGTGAATTCGGTATCACCTCTTTCAGATGTTAAGATGAACCCATATGGGCTTGTTTGAGATTATTGTGGAGTCCCATGCCATACAATATCAAGCCTAAAGTGGCCATGCAATACCTTGGGTCGTTAGCCTTTGAAGTAAATGGGCCTAAGGCCCAAAATTAATAAGATTAATTTTGTTGTCACAAGACAATGTGCTTTAGGTCTAATCTGGATTTGGTATTAGGTATGGAGTACCTATCCTCTTAAGAGGATAAGGCTTATCTCTTAATAAAGTCTAGATCTAAATTAAATTTGGATAATCTCCTAATTAGATTAGGAAAGTGCTTCATAAAGAAATAAAAGAGAAGAGGGTGAATTAGGTTAGGAGTATTCATATTTTTGCTCTTTCTTCTTCTCTCTTGTCTTCCAAGAAACCCTAATTTGACCTAGGCTTTCAAGAACTGATTTTTTATCAAATTTTCTTCTAGTTTTTGAAAAAAAAAACGTTGAGGAAGATTAGGCTCACTTACCCCATTCGATTTAAGCAAGTTGGATATCTATTTTAGAAAAAAATAATGTTTCTAAACCGACTTCACTATACACTATGCCATCTTCAATTGAGACTAGTTTTAAGACCGATTTGGGAGT